AAAAAAAAAACGGAGAACACGAACAATTTTTCAAAATTGTTCGCATTTTTTAAACTGAAAGTGTTTTCTTCCGGAGATTTGTTGACGACGGCAATCTTCTATATCCTTCGACCTTCCCGATCCCCCGCTTTCACTCCTTCTATATTCGTTCTCATTTGTCCCTTCTCCTTTTTCTTCATTGAAAATAAGTTTTTTAAAATGAAATTTCATTAGTTATCGCCTGCCCTGTAATTGAATACTTTTCGTTTCCTAGATTCATTTTGCTGTAATTATATACTTGCTGTTGTTATTGCAAAAAAAAAAAAAAATGATCCTTCCGGCGCCCCTCAAAAACTCTTAACTCAATGGCGCAGCGATGAAATGACAGGTGTCTTTCATTTTGTCAGAGAAGAAATGATGAATTTTTGCCTTTTTCAAAGAAAACATAAGTATTATTTCGACATTATTTATGTTTGTCGCTTTTCAAATATAATGAATAAGTAAATACCCACTTTTGGTTACTTTGGATTATGCTTTTGCAGATGGGTAACGATCCAGGTTGCATTCTCATTGGTGTACGGAATACTGATGTTGATCGGTATCACTGGAAACGGTGGTGTTTTAATTGCATTTACCAAAAACCGACGCCTGCGCTCGGCTCGGAATATATTTTTACTTAACTTGATAATCACCGATCTGTTGCTGTGTGTTAGCGCTATTCCGGTTACACCCTGGTACGCACTGACAAAGAACTGGAGCTTCGGAGCGCTGATGTGTCGGCTTATGCCACTTTCCAATTCATGCTCAGTTTTTGTTACCAGGTAGAGCTTTTCTTTCAAAAGAGTGTTTGCTTTTCTAAAGAAAACTAGCAAGGCTGCAAATTTTAGAAGCTTATTTGCCATCCAATGCGAGTTAAAAGTCCCCAAATTAGCCCTGAAAACTAGTTTTATCCTGATCAGTGATTGTAGACCCAAATCAGTCTATGATTTCAAGATGGTGCGAATTGGAAATTTGAAATTTTGGGCTTCTAGTTGACCATGAGAAAGCGTGAATGATTAGAAATCAGAAGCCAAAGCTCGTTGTTTCTTAATTTGCAAGCCTAGCTCTAAGTTCAGGATAATTTTGCAATTTCAAGGTATGGGACAAAAAGAGCTCCTGTAAAAATGAACTTTCGGAGTTAACGACATAATTATAATCATATGGTCGCGAATTTAATCTTAAACCTTTTTATGCCTTCAGCTATGAATTCATTCTCAATACGAACTGAAATCGTAAATCTAAGGCGAAGCAAGTTTAAAATCTAAATTTCAGTTTCTTTTCCGGGACTGATCGATTATAAAATCATCATGATGGGGTAAGAAGAGCTCCTGTAAAAGCTTATGTCACAATCGCCCATCGACAAAAACGCAGCAATTTACTGCAAAAATTTATAATCCCTACAGTTTCTTGGTACACGCTACTTATACGGATACCGAGATAAACTGTCAAATCCATTTGCTACAGTTCATTTGACTGGAGCACAAAATTGCAGTAGTCATATGCACCGTTTTACTATGGGCCAGCTTCAGTTGAGCTTAGCAGTAATGCAGAGCGCTTTAGACAAATGGCGTTCGATGCGCATTGCTTTCCATGTCTCCATCTTGCGCGCATGCACACTTTGCTATAGTAGATAGCACATTGAGTTCCAGTTCCATTTTGTTCGGATCGTTATTCGTACGTGCATAGAGAAATTTTTGATTAATCAGTTCTTTGTGTAGCTTATCAGCTGCTGGCCTCGTTGGCAAGACCTGGTTATAGTGGAAGGTATTACCGCGACGTTCATAATTCTAAACTCACCTTAAATCAGATATCATATTTCATTAAAGATAATTAATATTTTAGATTGGCTTCTAATATCACCCTTATCACTAAAGTCACTCTGACCATCCGCAAGGCATTGTCTGTGCTGCTAAGATACATTCACAAACAGCTGCGCGTTGAATGCATTTACGCTAGCTGTCTTGTTATAAGCCACTTGCCTATGGCCATAACTCACCACTTACGCTATGCGCGCCCGCATCCTCTTCAGAAGTTGTTTGAGTGGCTGTTTTCAATCTCCAACCAAAGTACTATCAATTCAAAAGAATAGCAAATAGGATGAAAATTAGGGATGGATTAATAAATTATCAAATTAGCAAGTAAACAAAGTATGATAAATGTTTCAGTTGGAGTCTCATGGCCATAGCGATAGATAAATTTGTGCACATCATAGATCCAACACGTGCGCCCGTATCAACACGACAAGCCGCCCTAGTGACAACATGTATCTGGGTGGTAAGCACGCTGATCAACGTGCCCTATCTGATGAGCTACGACCTCGTCGACGGCGCCTATTATGTCCCAAAGGACGCGGCGCCATTTTGCGGGTATTTCTGTGACGAGATCAACTGGCACGGTGAAACACCGCGAAGGCTTTATGGCTCTGCTGTCGTTTTGCTGCAGGTTTGTTCAGCTGATAGCTCACCTAGTGCGGTTATTTGGATAATGACTGTAAGTGGTTGGAGGACCCAACTCTTCAAATTTGTTCAGTAATGGATTTTAAATGTAGTTAAAAATGAAAACAGAAAAGCAAATGGAGAGGACGAAGGAGGTGACGCAAACAGACCTTTGGGGTATGTCTTCGTGACCGTATAAATCCAAATGGCAAAGCACTAGCTTCACGTAAAACACGAAGCAAACGATAATTTACAGTGTGCACACAAGTTAATTGTAAGCAACAAAAATCCAAGCAGCTGAAAGCATGAATTCTTCTCGCTTCATATTTAACTTATGTGCGCACTGTAAATTATCGTGAATTTTAGGAAAATAAATAAATTCTGTTGACCGGTTTTTTTATTGGAAAGGACCAGCTGTTCTGGTTCCCGAACTAGTAATTTTTCCGCCAAAAATTTCACTTGTCCGCATTTGAAAACCAGGCTTGTTTAGGAACTGAATTTGAAATCTTTAAACCGTGCGTAGACGGAGAACATCCCAAAATTTTTGGTTTCCGACCGGGCAGCTTACCCGCCAAAACTTTCATATGTCTGTGCGGCTGGGAACGGACCTAAAAATTTTAGCATTCCTGCACTCTGAGCTAGCAATTTTCACGCTGGGGTTTCCACATGTTCGCACGTGAAGTCTGGAGCACCCAGCTGCATTTTGTTAGCATCGGGAGCTTTGCTCCAGCAATCTGGATGATCCTTTTGTCGGTTCCTTAAAATGTGAATTTAATAGTAACCCAGGCTTTGATAGTAACCTAGGCATATGATTGCACCGGCAAGCCTGGTGCATTTCAACGCACCAGGCTTGCCGGTGCGATCATATGCTTTTTGCACCAGGATTGAAGTACTCAGGTCATTTACTGCATAAATGGTTTTTGCTTTAGCTATCTTTTGCAGCCACCAGCATAAATCACCATAAATTTTGCATAAAGTAAATGTACAATTTCCATTTAACGATCATTCTTTAAAAGTAACCTAGCTGTTCAGTGAAAAATTTTCCGGTCAAAACTTTTATGCGCCCGTGCGCAAAGCCACGCATACTTCAAGGCTGAATTTGAAATATTTAAATTGTTCTTGGACAGAGGACATCCCCCTAAAATTTCAGCTTTCTAGCTTTTCTGGTTCCTGATTTAGTAATTTTCCCGCAGAAACTTTCGTACGCGCATGCGTGAGTACCATGCATAGCTAGAGGCTGAATTTGAAATATTTGAGTTGTACTCGGATAGGGAGCATTCCCTCAAAATTTCAGCGTTCCAGCTTTTCTAGTTATCGAGTTAGCAGTTTTCCCGCCAAATCTTTCACGTGCTCGTACGTAAGAACCACGCATACCTGAGGGCTGGATTTGAAATCTTTAGCACATGCACAGGAAACATCCATACAAAGTTTCAGTCTCTTACCTTGTCTGGCCCCCGAGATCGCTTTCCTGCCAAAAAATTTGCATTAAACCATCCGTAAGCAACACCCAGGCGTCCGCGGAGGATTGTATTAGAACGGGAGGTACCCGCATGGTATGGGCACATACTCCCAAAGTTTCAGCCTTCTAGCTTTTCTGATTCTTGAGTTGAAAAAAACTTTTCTGATTCCTGAGTTCTAATTTTTTATGCGTTTTTGCATATATGTAAATTGCAAAAACACATATTGGGAAGAGGCTGTCTGTGT